TCAGGAAATAAGGAGACACACTGGAAAAATCTGCAGTTAGGGACCTCTCCAGCTGAGGAGTAAGGATGTCAGTTTGAGGACTTAAGTTGTGATTGATTCAGGCCATGTTCTTTCTGATCACTTGCTATGCATCTGAGAGCTGAACAATGAATAAGGATGACGGGAAAAGAATTGGTGCCTTCGAGATGTGGTGTTGGAGAAGAGCACTAACATCCCATGAACGGCTAAGGGAACAAAACAGATACATCTTGGAGAGGGTTCAGCTGGAGTGCTCTTTGGGGGCAAGAATGATGAGGCTTTGCCTAACTTTCTTTGGGCCTATTGCCAGGAGGTGCTATTCTTTTGAGAAGGACATGATGCTGGGAAAGGTGGGAGGTCGGTGAAGGAGAGGAAGACCCTACACCAGGAGGATTGACATGGTGACCACTGCAATGGGCTCTTGTGTGTCAGGAAGTGTGAGGATGGCACAGGGTAAAAACAGGGGTCATATCTTTCGTTCAGAGGGTCACTGTGAGTCGTACTCAACTCTGTGGCACCTTACAACAACAACAACAACAACAACAACAACAACATGCTCTTATCCTCGTTTAACAGAGAAGGAAATGGAGACACAGGGGTGAAATAACCTGTCCACGCTTCCTCAGTCAGTGAAGGCAGAAGAAGGAGGAGAAGCAGGGAGTGAAGTCTGAGGCAGCCTGGATCGTTGCCCAGTTGGGTCTCTGGTACTCAGACTGGGCTCTGTTCTGATCCAGGTGCCCGGCAGACGTCACGACTCTCAGCCACATGAGTGACTCATGAGGGGTGACTTTGTTCCAGCACCTCTTTTCCCCCCTTGCATTGACTTCACGCCAACCGAGTGAGGTCACGCCTGCAGCTGCTTCCTGTCTGCAGAAATGTGTGTAGGAACCCACGTCCCCAGTGGTGGGAGGTAAAGCCTGGCCTTTCACACATGAACTTGAATGATTTGGGGACGGGGCAGCTCTTCTTGCCTGTTGGCTCAGTTGCCACTCCAGGGAACCCAGGTTTCTTGGAGGACTTCTGGATGCATCGAAGCATCCAGGTCTCTGCTTCTTTGATTTAAGCATCTGTGTGCCCGTGACATGGCCTTTTTGCCCTGGTGGATGGACAGGACCTCCCTTCCTGCGAGTGACGTTCTCCAGAGGATGATGGAGCTTTATTATTTGGGGATTTGTTGTGAAATGTCAGAAACTCACAATATTGGTTTTCTTTCTGACATATGAGCCCCAAAGTCTGTATATTTTTCTAGCGATGATTCTGGCTTCATTCATCTGCATCCGCTAGTCAGGTGTTACTAGGAAATGAGCCGGCACAGTTTGATTCGTAACTATTTGAATTTTATAGCAATCTTAGCTGAAGTCTGACTGTAAATCAGATTTTAGGCATAGAGCTGGCACAGTTTGATTTGTAACTATTTGAATTTTATAGCAATCTTAGCTGAAGTCTGACTGTAAATCAGATTTTAGGCATAGAAAAATACATTTCCTGATGATGGAGAAGTTTAAAACATATGGAATATATTTATTCTGCAAGATTCTTTTCCTGAAATTATGTGCTTGTTTCTGTGTCTGTTCTGCTGTACCACCCACGAGTCCCTGGTGGTGCAAACAGTTAGCTCTCGGCTGCAGGTTCAAGTCCACCCCTGCGTGCCTTGCAAGAAAGACCCGGTGAGCTCTGTACAAAACACAGCTGTTGAAAACCCTGCGAAGCCCGGTATCTGCTCTGACTCGCGTAGCGCCCCTGTGCATTGCAGTCAGTTGGACAGCAACTGGTTTACGGGAGCCTTCTACCAACAGAAGAGGAAGTGACTTTGCCAGTTTTGAAAGTGTTTTTTCTTGTCAGACTTCTAAGAGAGTGTCAGTTGGAAAGGTGGAGGGTCAGTGAACAAGAGGAAGACCCTTGCAAGATGGACAGACACCATGACTTCAGCAAGGGGTCAGGTGTGTTAGAGATACTGAGGATGGCACAGGATAGGAGAGAATTTAAATCTGTGTTCATAGGGTCACTGTGAGTCCTACTTGACTCAGCAACGACACAGCAACAACACAACACAACACAACACAAGAAGTTTGGTGGCTCAGTGATAAGGAATGGTGGTACTATCCCAAAGGTAGGTGGTTCAGATTCACCAGCAGCCCTGCCATGAAAGACGGGCTGTCTCCTTTCATGCCTTCTCTGCCCCTGGAGACCTGTTGGAGGGGTCAGCTCCAAGTCACTTCTGACGCAATCATGCAGAATAGCAATGATAGGGGACCTATTACTGTTTCCCGTGAAAAAGAATTTTTTTAAAAAAAATCGATGTGTGGCAAATAAATAAGCTCACGAATTAAATCTCTAAAAAAGTTTTTTTTTTATTTGACTAGACGTTTTACAAATCATGTTCATTGGGTTGTCACACAGTCACTCATCCACATTTAACTTTAGAAACATGGTCATCACTATTGCATTTGATCACTCACACATATTTGTATGACATTAACTGTAAGACTGCCGTTGTTAGATGCCACTGAGTTGACGATGACTCCCAGCGACCCTGTGAACAGCAGACCTGAACCCTTTCCTGTCCTGTGCGTCCTCACCTAGAGTACGTTACTTTAATTAATGAAGTACAGTGTTTAATCTGCCTAACGTTTTCATCAAAGAGACAATAACAGAAATTGAAGAAGACAATAAAATCATATCATAGACCCCATAGATTAGAAACCAGTACCTGCTTGCCTAAGCCTCCGTTTATGCCCTGGAGTCACTTCATGCTGGGACTCTGTAGGACGGAGAAGAATGGTGTATGGAGAACAACCTACAAATGACATTTTTATTTAAGTAGAAATCTTGGCCTGCCAGATCTTACAGGAAGTGTGTGTTCCTCACGTACAGTTCATAATTCCCACTTTCCTGGCGTATGCTTGTTTGGGATACCGATTAACCCTCACTGGGGCTGAATGAGCTCTGAAGGACCCAGCTAGCCTCACTTTCCTCCGTCAGCATCTGCAGTGCAGGTGTGGTCGCCTGCCTCGGAAACTTCTAGAAGGTGCACCGGGGAAGTCCAGCCCTTTCACTCTGGAGAGCAGTGGTGGTTTCCTCCAGTCAGCCCACTGGGCTGGCACTGTGTTCAGGGCCCTTTGTTCTTAAGCTGAGTAAACAATGCTTCGCATTCCAGCCCTTTATTTAATGTCATCAATAGCATACCTCAAGCACAGATTTTTCTTTTCTTTTTGGCAGTGTGTTAATGAATGTTTTGTTGAACCTTTTTCATCTCTTAAGGACTGAGATCTCCGATTTAATCTCTGCGTGCTTAAAATAAACTTTGGTGGCTAAGTTTACCCAAGCCCTTGTCTGAGATCTAGTCTTCTAGGCGGCCCACGCCTCAGAGGCTGGGCCTGGGTCACGTTCAAGAGCCATTGCCAAGTTTCTTGATCTTTAGACTTTTCTGGCTTATGACTGGAAGGTTTGGACAGTTGTTGAATGTTAGTTCTGTGATGCATCTCACTCACTCTCCCAGCCATCAAGTAGGAACTGACCTTTGAACAGATTTTCAGAGGCTGTAAATTACAAGGGGCAAGATTGCCCATCTTTCTTCCAGGGAGACACGCTGGTGGACTGGAGCTGCCCTGATGTGCCGCCTTTGGGTTAACTGCACAACTCTTTATGGCCTAAAATTTCCCATCTTTGTCCTGTGGAGCTACTGGTGGGTTTGAACCTCCAGAGAGGCCCTACACTTGGGTCAGCAGGACAGCTCCTTAGAGACTCTGCCACCAGAACTCCCTTGTATCTGTTGTTTGCTGTCGAGTCGGAATCCACTGACAGCTGACCCTCCAGTGGGTTTTCAGGGGCAGTAAATCGCACAGGAGGAGATTGCCCATATTTCTTCTGCAGAGCAACTGGTGGATTAGAACTGTCTGCCTTTGGGTTGGTAGTCCAACTCCTTAACACTAAGCCACCAGAGTTCCCTTGCATCTAGATTTGCAAAACAAAAGCTCTGCAGACTGGATTTCTTGCAGTGAATGCTGCCCCTTGAATAGGGGAAGAACAGGGCAGGGCCATAAGAGAGAAATAATGCTGTTCCCTCCCTTTTTCTCAGGCCCCGCTCTGCTCAGGGAGGTGGTGGGGTGGGGGTGGGGGGTCGGGGGGCACTCTCACAACCCTCTGGTGCTCAGATACTTACTTTTCCATGAACTCTTGCCCCGCAGCTGCTTGGGGCCTGATATGATGTAAACTTTTCAGCATTCTTTGCTGTCTTCAACTGGCTGAACCTTGTCATTTAAATGAGCCATGAGCTTCTGAGGAAGGTGCCCTGGTGCTAGAGTGCCGGGCTGCGAACTGAAAGGTTCTGATTCGAACCCTCAAGCCGTTGTGTGGGAGCAAGATGTGGCAGTCTGCTTCTGTAAGGCTTGATGACCTTGAACCCCACAAGGCAGTTCTCTAGGTTTGCTGCGAGTCACGGGGAACTTGATGCCGACGGACTTGTTTTGTTTGTTGGAACTTAAGGGGTTTGTTTTGGTTCTCCCCCCCCCACACCTCCCCGGGTAGTGCACATGGTTAATACACTCAAATTGTTGAGTGAAAGGTTGGAGATTCCAGAGGCAGCTCGGTAGAAAGTCCTGGCAGTCTACTTGAAGAAGGCCTTTGACTCACAGTGCTGCTCTGAACCACGTGGGGTCGCCAGGAGCAGGGCTCCTGTGATCTTCAGCCCAGTGATGATGCGTTTGGTTGTCAAGGAGATGACAGCTGACATCCTGTTCCTAGAACCTCTATCCCCTACATGTTAGGGGCCCTATTCCCTGCCCCCCCCCCCAAAATCATGGGGAAGAATGAAAGTAAGGTTTGTATTTTAAAAAATGTTGAAACTGTCTCACATACGTGTTTTCAAATTATAAAAATGAGGAACCTTCTTTCAGGAAGAATTATTTAGAGCCAAGCTGGCCAGGTGTGAACACTTAGCCGGTATATATAATTCTAATTTTTTTTTTCTTCCCTTGCTTTAGGATTGCCTTGTGGCTGAAATGGAAGATAAAGTTTTAACTGTTGTAAGTATATTTTCTCTGTTACTGTAAAATTCTCTTTCTAATGGTATTGGGGTTCACATTTATTGAAGCCGATGCACTGTGGCAAACTGTTTCAGGCTGTATTTTGGGCATTGTTTCTGTTAATTTGCATGAAACATTATGTAACAGACTAACACGCATAGAAGTGTCTTTGTGTAATTTTTTATAATTATTAATTTTAATGTAAGTTTACAGAGACTGAGGATTTCCACTCATTCATTGGTGCACTCTTCTCCCTGCCCACTCCTCCCTCCCCCTAGTTTGCACTTCTCTTTGAAAAGTAAAAGAAAAATTCTTTCATTGTTTTATAGTCCCTCCCCCCAAGTCCACTCCACCATGCAGCCTTTGCTCTGGACTTCTGTAATGACAATAATACCTAATCACATATCCCTTTTAAACAGTTCCCTCCCTCATCTGTTTCAATGCAGTATACATTATTGAACCCATCTTTCTCAGTCTCCCCCTAACTCTGATGTCAGTCTTGTTTTACAGCAGTGGCACCATGCAGTATTTGTCCTTTTGTGACTGAGATATTTCACTCAGCATAATGTCCTCCAGGGTCACCCATTTTGAATAACATTGCGTAAGTTCCTTTTTTTCCATGCCTTTGTGTAATTGAGGTGCACTGGTCTTTGTCTTTGGAGAGTCGTGGTAGCACAGAGGCTAAAGCACTGGGCTATGATTGGAACCCACCAGCCGGTCTCCGGTCGATGAGGTGGTAACCTGTTACCTAAGAGATTTACAGCTTTGGATCTGCTCGGAGCAGCTCTGCCCCACCTTGCAGGGTCCTCAGCAGTCACAATTGAGTTCAGGGTTGACAGCTGCTTTCTGTCTTTTTCCCACCACACGCTTTGTCAGGGTACAGTTACACTTAAATTACAACCTTGCACGCTGATCAAGGGTTAATCTGACCTGAAAATTTGACTTACGGATCATTTTGATTTAAAAAAAAAAATTCTTGGCAAAACCCAGCACTGGCGGTGGGATGCACAGCGCCTGTTTCGAGAGCCTCTGCATCATTGCTTCCTCCCTCCGACGTCAGCCAGGCTGTGTGCTCTCGATAAGCCCTTCCTCCCCCTGATGTGGAGGACTTTTGCGATGAAACAGCTATAAATATGTTTTCCATAAATAGGGAGGCTCAGCAACTTGGAAGAATTTGAAAAGTGTCACTTCTTAGATTCTCGCCCTTGGAAAAACCAATCACTCTTTGGAATTTCCTGATTCCTTTGGCAGTTTCATTTGGAAAGGTCGGGTGGATCTGGTCCACCTCGCTGCATGCCACCACCGTGACTTGCAGTGGAAACTGTGCCAAAGGAATCCGCGTTTAGAAATTTGCCTCGCTGATGTTTTTGGCATTTGGAGAGTGTGAGTAAGCATGAAACAGATTATAGACCTGTATGTAAAATGTGAAAACCCCTTGTTGAAGATGACACGGGACAAAATCAAAGGGACCATGGTATCGGCAGTGAGTTTTCGATGCAACACTTATTTTTGATAGGATGCCAAAATCATATCTCAAGGAAGAAGACAATGCTAAATTGCCCCTCTTTAAAAGTCAGCACTTCTGCTTTGTAAAAGATACTCTTAAAAGAATGAGAAGACAAACTAAAGACTGGGAGAAAGTGTTTGCAAAACACATATTTTAAAAAGGACTTGATCCAATATACACAAAGAACTCAAAAAATGAGGAAAACCAATGCCCAAACAAGGGAAAACAAAACAAAAAAAACCCCACCAAACAAAACCTCCAACTAAAACTGGGCAGAAATCTGAACACCTTACCAAAGAAGTACCCAGACGGCATGTAAGTGTGTAAAAAGATGTTTCAAATCACATGCTGCTACTGTTATGTGCCATCAGGTTGACTACAGTGTTTAGTGACCCTGTGCACAATGGCTCTGAGTCTTACCCTATCTCCAGCCAATCACACCATCTCTGGCATACCTGCTCCATTGCCACAGTCACTGTGTCAGTCCATTTTATGTAGGGTCATCCTGATGTCCTCCTCCAAAGATAGGTCCTTCCTGGCCACGTGCCCAAAGTATGTGAGATGGAGCTTCAAAATCCTTGCCTCCAAGGAGCAAACTGGTTTCACCCTCTCCAGGACAGATCTGTTTGTTCTCTTGGCAATTCACGGTATGTTCAATACTCTTCTCCAGTGAGCTCAAAGGCATTGATTCTTCTTGCATCTTTATTCATTGTACAGCTCTCAAGTTGTATAGCAAGCGACTGAAAAGACCATGGCCTGGGTCAGGCACACCTTAGTCTCTGAAGTGATGTTGTTGCTCTTTAGCACTCCAGAGAGGTTCTTGATATATGGTATTAACATATAGTAGATAAAATCAGTGAGATGCTACTGCATACCTGTTAGTATGGCTAAATTTAGAATACTGACAACATACAGTGTTGTCCAGAATGTGACAATAGGGACTCTCATTGATTGCTCATGGGAATGACCAGTGGGCCGACCCCTTTGGAAGGCAGTTGGGCAGTTTCTTAAACATAATCTTAACCATCAGAGCCAGCAACCACACTTCTAGGCATTCACTGAAATGGGCTGGAAACTTAAACCAAAGCCTGCAGACGAATGTAAACCAGCTTTCTTCATAATTGCCCCAAATTGGACACAGCCAAGCTAGCTTCTGCTCATTAAGTGGATAAACAAAACTGTGATACCATCATATAATAGAATGTTTTCCTGATAAAAAAGAAATGAATCATGAAAAGACATAGAGAAATCTTAAATGTGCTTTGCTGATTGAAGGAAGTCTCTCTGAAAAGGCTACATCTGTTAAGTTCAACCATGTGAGTCCTGTTGTTATTGTTGTTCCATGCCAACGAGTCACAACTGACTCATAGCTGGCCCTCCACCAGGGTGTAAATTGCACGGAAGAGATCGCTGGTGGATTTGAACCACGTAGCTTTGGATTGTCAGTGCAGCTCCTTACTCATTAGGCCACCAGAGCCCTGTGCGATGTTCTGGAAAAGAGAAATCTATCGTGACAGAGTTTCCTAGATTTATCCTTCTTTTTATGGAGTTTGCTCAGCTCCACAATCAATATTCTTAGCACCAGCAGTCAAGAAATCAAGACAAATTGCATTGGGGAAGTCTTCTGTGAGGGATCTCTCCAAGGTGCTAAAGAGCAATGATGTCAGTCTAGAGACTAAGGTACACCCGATCTGGGCCATGGTCTTCACAGTGGCTTGTTGTCCATCAGAGAGCTCGGCAGTGACTAAGGGTGGCAGAAGAAGAACCCATGCCTTTGAGTTGTGGTGCTGGAGAATAGTATTGAACATACCATGGACTACCAGGAGAAGAAACAGGCCTGTTTTACAGAGGGTGAAGCCAAGTTTCTCCTTGGAGGCAAGGGTTTTGAAGATCCATCTTACATACTTTGAGCCCATGTCCAGGAGGGACCAGCTCTAGAAGAAAGACATCATGCTTGGACGAGTGGAGGGATAGGACAGGAGAGGAAGACCCCGGATGAGATGGGTTGTCATATAACGGGCAGTGGGGTGAGGTGCGTCGAAGTCAGTGAGACAGGTTCTAGAGAGGGCAGAGTTGAGAGCTATTGTCGACAGGGTCTCTGTGAGTCACAGGCAGCTCAGGGACACATAACAACAGCACTAAGACAGAAAGATCAGTGGATACCAGGCATCCTTGGGACAGGGGGAGAGGTAAGTAGGAGATAGTAGTATAATGGATAAGGGATGGCGCTGCCAACCCACAGACAAGCAGTTTGAATCCACGAGCTGCTCCGTGCGAGAAAGATGGGCAGTCTCTTCCCGTGCGATCTACAACTTCCGAAAACCCACCAGAGAGTACGCTGTGAGTTGGTTCTGACCTGATGGCACTGAGCTGACCCACACCCACTGCCCTCGGGTCAGTTTGTCCTCATGGCAGCCCTGTGTTAGCTTTCGCAGGCTTTAAATCTCCATGGAGGAAACTGTTCACCTTTTCCTGTAGATTGGCGCCATGATGCTTTTATTTCAGCAGCCGTACATGTAACTCACTACACACTGGTGATTGTTATGGGAGTGAAAATATTGTAGGAGCTGTGGTGCTGCAGAGGTTAAACACATGGCTGCTAACCAAAAGGTCATTGGTTTGGATCCACCAGTGGCTCCACCGGACAAAAGACCTGTGGGTGAGCTTCTGTCAAGACTGCAGCGTGGGAAGCACTCGGGGAGGCTCTGCTTTGTTCTGCAGTGCTGCTGTGTGTCTCCATCAGCGTACGACAAGCAGCCCTACGCCACCGTGGGCGACACTCAGTGACAGACACAGGACCGTCCCATGAGACTTTACAACATTCAGCGTGAACCCCGATGAAAATGACAAACTTCAGCTCATAAGAATGTGTCCAATGGTTGATCCATTGTAAGCAACATTTCACACTCAGATGAGATGCTGCTGTTGGCACAGTGTGTAACAAGAGGGCAGGGTCTGGGCACTCTTTGTCCTTTTTGCACAAGGCTTCTGTAAACCTAAGCTTGTGCTGAAGTAAAAATAATCTCTGAATGTCCAACAAGAGGTGCAGCCAGAAAGAAAACTGTTTACCTCGTCAGTGTTTGGTGTTCAGAGAATGTGAGTGCTGACCTAGCAGCCGTTCAGGTGCCTGGGAATAGATGCTGTGCTGTATCTGCTGAAGGCGCTTGGTGCCTGTGCTGTGTACTCAGCGGTGGGGAAAAGGCTTCTTCGGAACAAAGCTGCCTGAGCAGCGTGACACCCACAAAGAGCAAATGCGGCGTGAAACACCACGCCTCGCTGAGCGCTCTTGTCCAAACGCTTGCCACCCGTGTCCAGAGATACAGGTGAAGTGTGTAGCTTTAACTCCGCTTCAGATGAATCTTGTTAATGATTGAACCTTCTTTTCCAATTCTAGGTCAAGGTTTTAAATGGCATCTGTGACAAAACAATCCGCTCTACGGCAGATTCTGTCATGAGCCAGTGTGCGTGTCTGGAGGAGGTCCACCTGCCAAACATTAAACCCGGGGAAGGCCTGGTAAGAGCTGACCAGGGGTTCTTTTCTGGTCACAACACACAGCACAGTGCTTTTCTTCTGCTCCTTCAAATTCTACGTTACTTCCCCTAGAATTGTGAGGAAAATGCAGTGTCTTCATTAAAGGGAGTTCTGGTGGCCTACTGGTAAGGAGTAGTGCTGCTGTCCCGAAGGCATGCGGTTCAAATCCACCAGATGCTCCGAGGGAGAATGATGGGTAATCTCCTCCTGTGCAATTAGGTACCTCCAAAAACTCGCTGAAGGGTCAATTCTGACTCGATGGCACACAACACAACACCCATGACAATGGTGTATTAGGTCAACTATTGGGTTGCTAACAAAAGGAGCAGAAACTTGAATCTAGCCGCTCCCTGGGAGAAGACAGGCAGTCTCCCGTTTAGACGTGTGGCCTCAGAAACCCGACAGAGGTCACAGGAGTAAGCATCAGCTCGGTGTCCATGGGCTTGGCCTTGGGGGGAGGCCCCCATTTTGTAGTCAGGTTCTTGCCACCTTGAGCTCCGTTGATGTGTTTTCTGTCTTCAGGGTATAAAAAGAAATACAGCTTTAAAACTGTGCACTCACGTCTAGAAGGAACTGTCTTACCAGTTTTATTTTTAGGATTTCTCAGTGCAAGATAGAAAACATCGGCACAAAATAGCAAAGATGGTTTCTGAGGGGGAAATAACCAGCATCTGTGCAGAGTGTCTGTATTAGCCCACAGGGAGGAGGTGGGATGGGGCTGGTTGAAGGCATTGTGTGCTTTCTTCAGAGTGGTTCACTGCCCCTTAGTCAGGAGTCCTGGGCTGTGTGAACTATGAACTGTGAACTGTACCCAGTCAGGCCCTGAGAAAGCGTATGGGTGATCACACGGAGCCCAGATGCCCATGCCCGCTGCATCATTCCTTTGCTGAAATTTAAAAGTGGGAGTTTTGGGGCCAATGATTAGGTTAGGGGTAGAGCCTTTGAGCCAGAGAGAAGCAAGTTGGGTAAACCCAGCGTCCAGGTGACTCCCCCGGTTTACCTGTCGGTCTCTTCATGAGTCAGAAGAGAATAGTGGCTGCCCTGTTTGTGGTTAGTTCCCACTGAGTTGTTTCTGCTTGTGGTGACCTGTGTGTGGAGTAGAACTTCATCAGAGGGTTTTCAGGAGGGCTCGAACCACTAACCTCTTGGCCGGTAGTTAAGCATTTGCTCCCCACCGCTGTTGTCCCCAGGGATGCTGTGATTGTTGTTGTTGGTGCCCTGGAGTCCGCTGTGCCTCATGGGTTCCCTCTGCCCAGCAGCACTGCGTGGTCCTGCACCAGTCCTCCGCTCTGTGCTGTGCCCAGACCCAATGCTGCGGTCACTCTGTCAGCCACCTCGCTGAGATGCTTCCTCCCTTTTGCCAGCCCTCTGCTTTCCTGGCCTTAACCTCCTCCAAGGGCTGGCCTCTCCTGATAGAGCCACTGGTTATCACGGGTAACGTGGAGGGTCCTTGGTCTTAACTTTCCTTCTCCTCTGAATGTGCCTTTGCTGCTGCCTTTAAAAAAAATTTTATTATTAATTTTAATGAAAATTTACAGAGACTTTGGATTTCCATTCATTCATTGTTGCACTTTTCTCCCAGTGACCCCCCTCCCCCCACTTCACTCTTTTCTTTGACAAGTAAAAGAAAAAAATCTTTCATTGGTATACAATCCCTCCCCCTTCAAGTCCACTCCACTATGCAGCCTTCATTCTGGATCCTGTCATGAAAATAACACCTAATCATGTATCTCT